ATCGCTAGCAACTCACTGCCATGGACTAGGTGTACGTTACGATAGAAATGTTCTATGACATGAAGCAAGCTGGTCGTGATAGCCGCTACTATCCCATAACATCCTGAACCTGTGAGAGTGGCAATACCTAACATTTTTGTCGTCTCCTTTTTTTCAATTGACTGGTTTGTGCAGCCACTATCGAGTATAGCTATTGATATTTTTGAGGTTATATAGTTTAGTGGTTGTGACATCCTGAGGAAAATGGTGGCCAATATGTTTCTCCTTAGCTTGAAGGAGGGCAATAGTTTTGTCACTTGGAGGGCAGTCAAGGATTCGAATCTTGAAAACTAATGTTTCAGAATATATAGAAATCTCATCAGAAGTAGGGAGTTCGATATTAAACTAAATATAATAGTAATCGATTATTTATGCCACAGTTAGAGTTGGAGGTAATGAGGAGTCAGAGTAGTGTGTTATTTATGTTGAAAACAAATTAGAATCTGGATGGTTTTTCGATGTCGATATCAAAGTGAAAGCTTTATCCGGAAGAAGTTCTGAAGAGCCACAGGGATGGAGCAGACCGAACACCAGAACAGCCAACAGCATTCATATGGGAAGAAAAATTAGGTCCGAATTTTACTCTGGTGTAGCAACCATGTTAGTAAATCTACCTTCGTGGCCACAGCCACCGGCTTCATAGCTCCATGCTCATCCTTCTCCGTAACAACAGCCGCACTATTCCATTCGAAAAACCGGTTCAATGCATTCAGTGGAGTTTCTAGAGTTATTTCAATAAATTGATGACGCCTTTCCGCGGTCCGCCCGGCTTCAGAAGTGTCAATAGAGCCAACGAGAGGGTCTAGAGCAGACCATGCGATATCTCTGGGATCCGTGACCACCTCCGACAACTTCGAAAAGTCAAACATCACATCAGAAATGGGGCTGCTGCTCGCAGCTCTCCCGTGAGAGACTCGGCTGAGGATATTTCCGAGAGTTACCAGACCGACCAAACGTCTTCCCGTGGGGGCAAGCACAGGTAGTTGATCGAAACCTTTTTCTCTCATCACCTCGATAGCGGCCTCGCATGTGGAATTTGATGGGATTGTAGTAACTGGCTTTAATCTCAGCGCCTTAACTTTGGCTCCGGAGAATGGATCCTGAGGTCTTCGTGGTTGTATCTCTGGTGACGAAGGCTCCGCCACTGGTGAGACTTCCGGGAGCAGATCGTTCGCGGCTACTCACGGCGTCATCCGCAAACTGTAGACTAATAAGTATCATGCGAGCCAACGGTCAGGGGGCTGCAAATAATGTAAAAGCACATTAAAAAAAATATTTATACCTTTGTCAGATAACTTCGAATACTATCAGGGAGAATGACGACAATCACATCGTCTTCAGTAAAATCAAAGTCTTGGACTGCCTTTGCAAGAGCGGCAATCGCACTTCCACTGCTCCCGCCCACGAGAAGTCCCTCTTCGGCTATCAGTTGTCTGGCATACTGGAATGATTCTCTGTCACCAGTTTTATACCACTTGTCAATAATACTGCGGTCCAGTACCTCAGGGATGAAGTCGTAGCCGATACCTTCTACCTTGTATGGCTCGTTCATGTGTTCCTTGTTCAAATTTTCCGGCAACGCAAGGATGGAGCCATGGGGATCTGCCGCAATGACTTTGACATTGGGATTATGCTTCCTTAGGCCACGCGCAATACCAGTAATCGTGCCACCCGTCCCCGCACCTGCTATCACGGCTGTTATCCTGCCTTCAGTTTGGGTCCATATTTCCTCCGCAGTTCCATATTCGTGAGCCAGTGGGTTATTTTCGTTTCCGTACTGATCTAAAATATGTGCATTTGGTAACTCCTTCTCCAATCTCTTCGCGACACCAATGTGTGATTCTGGAGAATCGAAAGCGGCTTCTGTTGGTGTTCGGATAATTGTAGCTCCCAACGCACGCAAGACAGAAACCTTTTCAGCGGACATCTTCTCAGGGAGAGTGATTATCGTTTTATAGCCTGCTCACACAATATATATAAACATTTAGAAAAAAACACTTCAAATATACTAAATGCGCCTGTCGGCAAGTAAATAATAGAGTGGCCTAGCTAAAGGCGGCTACTGACCTTTTACTGCAGCAACAAGAGCAAGCCCAATACCCCTAAATACATTAATTGCACTTTAGTCAGTCAAATCCGCTGATATCACTCATTTCAGCCAAAATGGGCGCATTCAGTTATCACTCACGTATTTCCGCTTGTTGGCTCAATCAGCGTGTCACCGGGCTTTATTTTCCCTTTGCGCTCGGCCTCCTCAATCATGCGCAAGGCAATTCGATCCTTCACACTTCCCCCAGCATTGAAATACTCTAGTTTAGCATAGACAGTAGCTTTGACACCAAGCCTCGGAGGTACTTTGTTGAGACGGGCTAGAGGTGTATTGCCGATTTGTTGCGTGATGGATTCCACCACCGCTGGAGGGGTAACTGGGTTCGTTTTGGTAGACATTATGGTGGGGTGTAGATGTCGGTGGAGAGTGAAACCGAAAGACGGCGATAAAACCTAAGAAAAAAAGAAATGGAACAAGTAGAAGGCCGAAGGGAGAGAAGCAGCGTGTAGATATATACCCAGATCGTGATGGGGCGGGCCTGGCCTATTGATGCGGGCCGATGTCAACCGCCCTCAAACTTTGGAAACAGCATAGAAGTGGCGCTCCGACATCTCGACAGGAGTCCTAGCATATTCTAACAAAGCTGAAGATATTCACCACATCCAGATATGCGTATGCGATTGTTTTGAATACGAGTAGGAGTAGGAATAGGAACATCTGCGTGATGACATGGCAATGCTGGTATCCGAGCTGTTGGTTGAATTGAGATGACACGGGAGTGTTAAAATTTGACGATTTCATTTTTACATCAGAGTCCCTCAGAATAAGTTAATTACATAGAAACAGCATTTTCGACTCTATATCATTGGTCACAGGATGCTGCTCAAATTTTACGGTTTATCAAACAGTGTTACAAGCTAAGACGCTGAGCCTTCAATAAATGCCAATATATCCTGAACAAGTTGTTCACCATGCGTAATATACAGGCCTTCCAAGATATGAAACTGATTAGCAATAGAAGAATATGCAAGGCGACATGGAAATTGACAATCGACGGAAAACAAGCTGAATAATTTCACTTACCGTGAGCTCCCGACTTATACTTCCTAACCACCGTCCTGGGGATGATTTCCCTGATGATTTGGGAAGTGGCTTCAATGGGACAACCCAAATCCTGATCCCCATGGACGCACATGATAGGGATGTCAGTCTCTGCACCAAGTTCTCGCAAGCGATTTGTGAAATCCACCCCCGTGATGATCTGGACACAGCGCTCGATGGCAACGGAATCCGCCTGAGCAACAAAGCCTTCAAACCGTCGGAGCGTGAACTCTGACAACTTGTGCTCAGGTGAAGGTACAGAGAGCGATGGGGGTAGAGCTACATGTGTGTAATCAGCCCGCGAGCCACGGAATCCTTGGAGAATCGAGTCCCAAAGCTCGCGCGATGGCGCAGTAGGGTTTTCTGGTGTAGCCAGGGGGTATGGAAGCGCGGGGCCTATCCAAAAGAACCCCTAAGTATTGGCCAGGCGGTGTCAGTGAGATTCTTGCACTGCGCTGAGTGCTTCGTTCTCATACCTTGCAGTTACTTCTTACGTATTCGCTGCGCTCGTACGCTAGCAGAGTTTCTCCTGGACCCATGCTCGCTGCCACAAAAACAAACGGACCGATATCAAGTTTCTCTAACAGATGGGCCGCATCCTGGGCGAAGACGTTATAATCTATCTGCTCCTTGCCCGGTTCGGCACAATTCCCACCATTCCAGTCACTTTGGCCGAAACCACGGCGATCAGGGGCAATGCATCTGAATCGATAAGTCTCGCAAAGGGCGAGAGTTTGTTGTTCAAACATCAGCGAAGACATTGGCCATCCATGGATGAATACCAGTGCTGGTTTCTGCTTGCTTGCATAGGATTTGTCCAGGTTGAAGGGACGGGGATTGCTAGTAGGTTGGTAATCCCTATAGAAGAGCTGGGCTCCGTCAAAGGGGCTGGTGAAGCGAGGCATGTTCAAGGTAGCAATATAAGGCTATTTCTTATTCTCTGTGTACCAAGAGATGGTTTGATGCAGGATGAATCGTCGGCTGTATGAGGATACAGAGTGAGACGATCTCACAGCAGCATGGAGATGGCCTTTTATAACCCATTTTTCCCCAGTGTTAAATAAAAATTTCCATCAAGGGCTGGGTGGAAACATAACACGAGCAACATGTGGGCCTTCATGAAGTAATTTCATGTTCAAGGCAAATATCAAAGTGTCTGTTATGTCGCTCATCAATTCACTATATCTTTTGACAAGTGGATTCCCCCTCGCGCGGGGGAAGGATTCTGTCAGGCATGTGAGGGGCGGATCGATCATCTCGTTATGGGGATCCTGATACGAGGCTCCGCCTTCTCGTCCCAATAACCGATATAACGTTATGGCCAGCGATCCTGGCCTTGACATCAGCAGTACCACTGCCCCGCAAGAAAATCTTCAAGGAACATACATACACAGCGGTCTGTAAATTCGGCGGTTGAAAGGATGTGAGTGATGGGGTGGTGGGGATTTCTCTTGAGCATGCATTTCCAGGAGCTGTTAAAACACAACCGAAGCCTTCAATGGGATCCTTGGGCGCTCACACCATTTGCCTCGTCTACACAGTGGCTTCAAGACAACCCGTACTATCTGTGGCGCTTCAGCCATCAGCGATTTCAGCTGCTGTCTTCATCGCCGCCGCTTACCTTCTCAGAACTGAGATCCAGCGATTTCTTTGGCTCTGGGGCTTTTAGGCGCTGCTTCCAGAGGCCATGCGTGTTCCAGCATTATTGGATCGACGATGCTTCCTCAGCGCCCCCATTACCTCCATGAAACGTTCTGAGACGCTTCTTCTTCCCTAGCAATTGGGGCACTCCGAGGAAATCGATACCTGCCAACCCGCCAGGTCAGAAGCCAGGAACCCTTAGCCAAGCGAAGCCAAGTTTTCGTTCATGCTAACTGACGACTAATATTTCTCCACACGTTCCTTCAACAATGCGCCACTACGCCGCTTGAAAGCTTGAGAAGCTTGAGAAGCTTGAAACTGGACAAACGGGACCAGCCAAGCCAGAGCGAACGAGTAGGCTTTCAGTTCCGATAATTCATCCTCTAGTACGCGCGGGTTGCAAGGATACGTCTTCGAGTTGTAACAAACGCAGTTTAAACATTCCAATGGCAACCAAAGCTCCACGTATTTCACCATCCTCGGAGAATCGAGTTGATGATTATAGGAGTAGCTGTTGTCTAGGCTGAAATGGTTGGCACTTTTTGGGTTGGTGCCATATCACATGACTAAGTGTGCGAGCCCTGGAGGTAGTTATGGATACGCAAATGAGAACAGGACAAGCAGGCATTTGCTTGCTTAGGGTCAGGGTTACTCTCCAGAGTAACCTCATACCCTTAGAAACTGACAACCGCAACCAATCCTTCACTCCCACAACTATATGGAGCAGCGAGCTCCCTCGATCTCCTCCCAGGACGCGAACAACCGTCCAGGATCTCCCCCACAGTCATCAAAGAAGACGAACGATCCTAGTCATCCGATTCTCCCCTTGCATAATGAGCCTTCCGGATCGTTATTCCGTGTGGCTTCTGCTGGCGAGAGCGGCCGCCGAGGAATCCACCCCATCCATTTCCTAACAGTATGCACGAAAAGTACCAATCGCGTCTCAATGATCGTAAATGTGCTTTGGCCCTTTGTCCCGGCTGCAATCGCTCTTAGTTTTGCGCGCCCTGATCTCCATCTCTGGATTTTTAGCCTCAATTATATCGCCATGGTGCCAACTGCCAATTTGCTAGGTTTTGCAGGGTCTGAGTTGGCTCGGAAGCTGCCAAAGGTTTTTGGCATTTTGCTGGAAACTGCATTGAGCTCGTTGGTGGAAATTGTTTTGTTGATGGTGCTAATTTCCAATGACGAGAACAGTAACTTGGTCCCTGTTATCCATGCCGCAATTCTAGGCTCGATTTTGGCCAACTTGTTGCTTTGTCTGGGGACATGTTTTTTCGTGGGCGGACTGAGGCGCAATGATCAAACATTCCACGAGGTTATTAGTGAAACGGGTTCTGGAATGCTGCTTGTGGCCGGGTTTGGCCTCTTAATTCCCAGCGCGTTCTATTCCGCTCTTTCTCGAAGCACAACTGCTGATGGCCATTTCACCCCCCAATTGCTCTTGGACAACACTCGTACCATCAGCCGAGCGACTTCAGTCATCCTTTTAGTTGCCTTTTTAATGTAAGGGCGATTTTACATGGATTTTATCACTCTATTTTTAAGAATTCGACTTGACGATACTGACTGGAATTAGATTCTTATTCTTCAACCTTCAAAGTCATAATAGCATATACGACGAGGTCCTTGAGTCGGATGAAGAAAAGGATGAAGACGGGGCAGACGAAAAGAGAAGAGCTAAACTCACATTCACCGAATGTCTCGTAGCTATTGCTATCTCGCTCACCTGTGTTTCACTTTCTGCTGTGTTTCTGGTTGAGCAGATACCATCTATCGTTGAAAGAGGCGTCCCAGACAATTTCATGGGCCTTATTTTGGTCCCTCTAGTCGAGAAAGCAGCTGAGCATCTGGGTTGCTGTTGACGAAGCTTGGTAGGCAACATCCCCTTTTGTAAACACATACCTTATCTCTCCTCAAACTAACGCCGTTTTCCTTCTCTACAGGGACAACCAAATCAATTTCGCGCTCTTCCACTGCCTTGGACCGTCCATTCAAACGGCGCTCTTCAATGCTCCCCTGGTTGTCATTGTTGGCTGGGGCTTAGGAAAGGACATGAATCTGAACTTCGAAATATTCATGGTTGCGATGCTCGTGCTCTCGATCCTGGTTGTTGGCAATTTCCTCCGCGATGGTAAATCGAATTATCTAGAAGGGGCGCTGCTTGTTCTGGTGTATATCATCATCGCCGTGACTGCTTGGTACTATCCAAACCCACATGATTTGACGACAAATGTTCGGTTGCCGGCAGGAGAACATCATTGAACATTGATGAACAAACCCCTTCTCTCCCTTTTCGGGCGTGGTATTTCACCTTTTGCATTTGATCACATTTGAATCACGGACTGGAAAAAGATACGTTGAGTGCAGGACGTGATAATATTAAATGACATCATCAAATTTTTTTGGCATTGCAATCTGAGTAGTTAGCATCACTGTCATTCTAGCGAGGCTAGACCTAATACATAGCCGTGATTTTTGTGGATAAGTAGAATAATCGATAACCTATTTCGCGATTTCAATTAAAACCTTGGTTGCTTTGTTGATAAAATTCCATCCAGAAACAATCTCCGCATGTTTCCTGTGCAAGTTAGGCTTGTTTATAAATTCACGCCAATCAATTGACTTCCAAGCGTTGATCCAGCGCCAACCTTCACGTGTACAATTAACAGCACCTGGCGAGGACGAACCAAACCATGGAAAACAACCAAATATCACTCCAGGAGAATGTCGCCAATGCTTTTAGGGAACGAGGTATTCCTGTTAAACGTGATGACATTAATGCTGCTCTGGCAGATGCCGACGCTTGCAAATGGATAGAAAATCATCTTACTCCAGAAACGCTTCTGTCGAAAGAAGAATTAACCGTGTACGTTTTAAACCTCTCACAAACAAAAAAATCTCGCTTTTAACCAAACTCTTGCTAACTGGGATTCCTTTTATTAAAGGTATACAAAAATCGAAGCAACTGGATTCCTCAAAGGCATTCTGCATGGCCAAGAAATATCATCAACAAAACCTTTCCTAGATGATGAAATACGCAAAGCGATTGGATCACTCAAGGCTTCGACCGCGGCCGTTGAGCACCAAACGGAGACATTGAAGCTGCAATGCAAAGAGCTTAAGTCCCAGATTCGCAACGGAAATCAGTCTCGGCAACGAGAAACGAAGGCGTGGGCCCAATGGAAAAATAAACACGCGCTGGAGAAACAGCAGATTGATGTTGCGGTACAGTTTCGCCACCGATAAACGTCATGCTTACATCACACTGATGGCTCCTTGCAGGTTGAAGACCTCACCCACGATTTTGAGACGACTCTCAGCTCAATGAAGTCCTTATTGACCACCGAAGCTCATACCTTGCTCCCTCAATTGGTTGGCAAATTGAAAGACGATAACCAATCTCTGCAGAGCTTGGAAAAAATGGTGTCAATAATTCAAATAGACACTGCTGATAAAGAGCTTAGTGCACGGGCTACCGAGCTAACTGCGAAGCTCTCCAGATACCTTGTTGAGGAAGTCCACTCGCGATTGGATCGGGTATATATTGAATATTTGCAAAGCAACGCTCCAGGAATAGATGAAGGTGACGAAGAAGCATTAGCGACTCTCCAGGAAGAGATTAACTCATTATATTCGGAAATCGAAATTCTTTCGGAAATGACCACTCAACAGGAATACAAGGTTCCGATACTTCGCGCTCTTGAAAGTAGCGGAGCGGAGGTTCGTTCGACTTCTCAACAGCAATTGGAGCGGGTTCGTATCCCTTCTCTATTTTCACCATTTGCTATCGTACACCTCAAGGAATGAATATGAAGGCTGATTTTCAACCTAGGTTTTTGATATTATACTCGACTTAACTCAATCCACTGAACGAATAACCGAAAAGTTAAATAACCGGCAATCGCACCAAACGGCATTGAACTATCTAGCTACAAAATACAACTGCGAAAAGGAAAGTAAACAATCAGAGGGGCAGGCGGGAAAAGCAATGACACCACAGAAACGCTTGTCTCGACTGTCATACATGCCCTCGACGCCTAAAGATACTGATCGAAAAAGCTCACTTTCTCTTCCACTTGATCATGGCTCAAAAGCTCTTGAACAGCTCCTCCGGCGACTCGGGGTTTCTACTATCGATCTCGTGGAAAGCGGCTTAACACGTGAAGCGTCAATGGCCTTTGATGAGAAGAAGCAGCACATGTTGGAAACGCTTCAAAATCTGCTATCTACCGCCGACTCTCCTCTTTCTCTATACTTGGGAACAGCTGACCAAGCTGCTCAGTTACTGCATTCCGCCCTGTATGCGGATTCGAGTTTCGAAATTGCTATGGTAGACGGTACGCAGGATGGGAAACTTGGCGCATTGGAAAGACAGATTGAAGTGCTCCGGAAAGGGATTAATGGGCTTGATGTTGGTATCTTGCATGGTGGGGACAAGGCGCAGGAGAAGTTTATGGAGAGATGGGGATGAGAAATCGTTTTTTGTTTTCAAGGAAATCATTATTGATACTAGTTTCCTTCTCTTCTCCTTCTTTATCAAACTCCTATCGATTATATTTCCCATGTCCTCCATTCTTTCATACCTGGTTTGGTTCATCGGACCTTTCTTGAGCCAGCTTGGAGTAGGCGTTACAAACTCCTAAACTATTGTTTCTGCCCACACGCAAGGACGGCGAGCCTAAATTTTCCACCGGTTTGCGTAACAATAGCAATCCTATTCGTCCTCCCTGTTGGTCATTCACGTGACCAATGGGCTTGGACCCTCGGATGAAAATGTGAGAATGTTGCCTTTCAATCCAATCTGTAGTTGTTATGGTATATCCTGTTTTGCTGTTTGATTTGATTGTCCTTGCTAATTCCTTCTCTGGCAACTTTTTCTCCCCAGTGTAGCAGCCTTCTGAAAACGTGGATTAAAAATACAATTAAAACCAACACTTCGCGCAGAGTTCCATTTTTTAACTTTTGTGCGTCTCTCTTCGGACCCGTCTCTGGCGTGCATTTCGGGGTAAACGTTTAATTGTGGATAGGTACATGGAAACCTGAGGCTGGATTGAGATTGTTGATGCCCGTTGAAGTATCCCAGATGAGAGATAAACTCTCATTTGAACATTCAGTCAGATCCATCCATTTTTTATATTTGCGACTGCAGATATATCTGCCTATCGAACCTTCGGATCACCTAATAGAGACTGACAAGCGCTCGACAATGCGAGTCTCATTCCCAGGAAGAAGATTTTCACCATACAATAAGACACAACAAATCATGATACTTTCTATGTGAGAAAACCCGGCTTGACATGGAATAAGCTCGCAAGGAAGTGTCAATGAAGCCTACTACAGGCTAAAAATTCCTCAGAATGAACAGACGAAGCGAGGAACTAGAAGGCCGAAAGAGAACTGATCTAGTCGCGCAAACAAATCGACTCTCTCTTTCACCGAAGCAGCCCCTCCATCCCGCAGCCTCTAGTCCTGCTGATGTTAAATCGCCTCATTACGATGAAGCATTTAGCCTCTCTCCCGAATCAGCTTTGATGATTCTTTGCGCCCATGTTAATAAATTAGCCAAACTCACTGGCGACATACCCTCATCTACGCCACCAACAGGAGGAAACATCATCGCATCCCAGACGACGGATGATAATTGCGCCAACCTCCCAAGTGCCGACAATTTAGTATCAAACGCCAACCCGAGAACGGGCGCAAAACATCTCGATACCTTCTGTCCAATGGTATTAATCAAGAGCTTTTACTGCAAGCAGATCTCCCCGATATCGTTGGCAGACTACCTCCTTCGAATCCATCGTTACTGCCCCATGTCAACTGCCGTGTATCTGGCACCAAGCCAATATATCAGACACCTGGCGATTGTGGAAAATAATATATGTGACTCCGCGCAACATGCACCGGCTCGTTCTAGGTGGACTGCGGGTAGCAGCGAAAATTGTAGAGGATCTCTGCTACCAACACAGACGATTTGCTAAAGTTGGAGGAGTGACGGAGCGGGAGCTGGCGAAGCTCGAAATTAGCTTTAGCTTCTTGATGGATTTCGAGTTGAGGGTTGATGCCGAGACGATGTTTCATGAGATCGAGGCATATCGAGAAGAGTCACGGTAAATAAGACCCTGTGGTACATATTATATTTATGCACACAGACCTGTACATACTAGCACCGGTTTTTTTTTTTTTTTTTTTTTTTTTTTTTTATTCTTTAGGAAGAGAAAAGCAGTTCGTTAAATTTGTTGCAGCTTTCGGGGCCTAGAATTCGTGGATGATGGTGAGAAAATCTTCGCCCAAGGCGTGTTGACACTGACAGCCTCCTTGGGACGAGGCGCCTAACAGCAAGAAATCTTTCAGCCTCAATTGTGCAGATCAATGCCCTCTGCGTCAGCCAGGCCATGTGAAAACTTCTACAGCGCGTCTTTTGGAAAGCTGGAAACGACCAGACAGCTAGTAGTAAATGTAATAACTAACTAAACGTCAACAGTAGTTAATTCAACAGACTTCGCAATTGGATATCGGTGTCTATGCTCTAAACCGCATTGGGCCTGCTGGATACGGATCCCGTACCCGCTTCGTGATCATACATATCAGCCTTGGGGGGAAAATATTGCTGGATCACGCCGCGGCGCATATGCAAGAAAGCTAGACTCATTTCCACTTGCCAGACCAGGACTTTTGACTCTCCCTTCTCTCTCGTTCCCCTGGAATGGCGAAATGATTGAATTTCTCAACTGAGGAACAAACACCAAACGTTGTCTGATTTCCACCCGGCGCAATTCCCCCCCCCCCAAGCGCCAACGTCTGTCTAAAGTTAGCCTTCCAGGGCTGAGCCATGTCCTCGTCATCAACATCTCGCGATGCCCTGAGCTCTATTGACCGAAATTCCAGTTCCACATCTCTGACAACCGGAAAGGCGGCAGCTGCGCCTCCAAAACTGTCGACGCGGGAAAATGAGCTAGAGCTGAAGGATATCAAACCCGAAGATGGAAACGGCGGCAACCCCAAACCATCTCTCCCCATCGAGGAGGATATTATGCAACTGGCTCGACTGGGAGAAATAGCAGCCATACAAAAGCTATTCGAAAGCGGTAAATTCAATGCCAGATATGCGGATGAAGAGGGTATTACTCCTTTGCATGTGAGTTTATCATAGAGTATTCCATGTCCCCGCGCTCTTTCGTCAATTGGCTTTGGGTGGAAAAATGGATTGGTCACTAACCGTTTTCATCTCACCTTCTGGTGTCTGTAGTGGGCGGCAATAAATAACCAGTATGCCCTTTGCAAGTTCTTGCTCGAGTCCGGTGCCGACGTAAATGCGAAAGGCGGCGAGTCGGTAGCCACGGCGGCTATGTGGGCAGCTCAGCGCTGCCATTATTACATCGTGAACCTTTTACTCCAGCACGGCGCAGACCCTCTATCTACCGATATCCAAGGGTATAACATACTACATCTTGCCACCATCGATGGAAACGCATTCCTCCTCGTCCTCCTCCTACACCAAGAAATCCCCGTCGACTCGCCAGATCCCCAGGGCCACACCGGTCTGATGTGGGCGGCATACAAAGGTTTTCCGGCCTGCGTGGATTTATTTCTACGGTGGGGGGCAAATGTAAACGCTGTGGACGAAGGGGGACTGTCTCCACTACACTGGGCATTGGTGAAGGGCTCCCCGGCGTGCGTTCAAAAGATCATCGAGTATGGCGCGGACCGATTTGCGAAGACGCGGGACGGAAAGACGCCTGCGACAGTAGCGGCCGAAATGAAAACAGTTCATGCGTGGTATCGCGCACTCAACGAATGTGGTTATGACCGAGAAGGCAACCTTCGGACGCTTCCATTTGGGCTGACAACCGTAGCACGGACAAAGCGGTTCACGTCGAAATTTTTCTTCTTTTGGCCGTTCCTTGTCATACTCTTTTCAATATTCACTCTCAGCAACATGGTTATATATATTGGTATTCCGTTTACCCTAGGGATTGTGTTTGGCATGCAGTGGATTGCGCAACGGGTTGCAAATCTCGGGCCCTCAGAGTATAGAGTGTTGCATAGAACGGTATGCCTATTCCCTGGAGCCGGGCATATTTGCCGTTTACTCCTTTAATTTCACTTCGCCGGCGTTTGGATTGCATTGTACATCAGCTTCTAACACCATGGATCTAGCCCCTCCTAGCAGGCGTTTTTGCGGGATCTCTATTTTGGGTCGGAGTTCGTTGGGCCCTGAAGGTGCTACCAAGTAAGATCCTAAAAAGATTGGCCATTTGATTCGAGAATTTTTGATGGCTAATATTTTACCATAGATACATATTCATCACACCCGTTTTTAAATTTTTTCTTCATAGTATTTTTTGGCTTGACTACATATTTCTATGGTCTTGCAATGCTCGAAGATCCCGGGTTTGTCCCTAAGCTAGGAAGCAGAAATCAACAGAGGGATACGATAACCCAACTCTTTGAAGTCTGGAAATTTGACGAAGACAACTTTTGTGTATATTGCATGATTAGGAAGCCGTTACGCAGCAAGCATTGCAGACGTTGTAAGCGTTGTGTGTCTAAGCATGACCAGTAAGTATATATATCCTTCAAGCCCCTGGTTTTATTCAGGGGTGCCACTTTTGGACTAACCTGCTGGGGCGTGACAAAATAGCCATTGCCCATGGATCGATAATTGCGTTGGCGCAAATAACTTGCGCCACTTTATTTTGTATATCTTTTCCATGGAAATTGGCATTATTTTCTTTATACAATTAGTGATGGCTCGTAAGTCCTGATAACCAAGGAGAGATGGCGGGTGGTTTACGCAAAAACAACACTTACTCACGAAGTCACAGATATCGATATAATTCCCGCACGTTCCGATGCTGAATGCAACATCCTCTCCTCAGTTCTTTGCGATATCCTCAGTCGAGATACTTTCACCATCATCCTCACGATATGGATCAGTATCCAGCTTATATGGGTGAGCATGCTGTGTGTCGTCCAACTTGTCCAGATATCCCGCAACCAGACCACCTACGAAAGTATGCACGGGCACACATTAGACTACGCGAACTCAGCCTCAGCAGCCGTTACCTCTGCCATTACAACCGGCACCACCTCAGCCGATATTGGTGGCCTTTCCGCGACGGGCCAAGGGCCAAACCCAGCAATCCCGCCAACTACAATACCATCACACCGCCGACCCCCTCCCCTCCGTCACGACCACGGCTGTTTATCTCAATGGAAGAAATTGCTGGGTCTAGATACCTTCGTAGCCACCGCACAAGATGGCCTTGATCGACGCGGTGGGGCGCGATCCTGGAACCCCTTCTCGCGTGGCGTTGTTACGAATTGCAAAGATTTTTGGTGCGATAGTCAGCCGTATTTCGGCAAGCGGGATACGGGAAGTGCGATGTTAGGCGGTGAGACTGTGAATTACTCTCGTCTATTCGATATGCCGCTTATGACGCGGACCGGAGGCAGTAGGGCAGGTTCCGGTATGGTATATCGGAGTGTTGCGGGGGGCGAAGACGCTGTATAGATTTGATGGCGCTGATGTATTCGTATTTTAATTACATGACTTGACGGTCAGACAAGTGGCTTGGGCGAATTGGCGGGGTAATTGATTTATACAAATTATAATAATATTATATTTTCCCGGCTATATTACGGAGGTTGTCTGTCTGTTCCCTTCCAGCGCGTTAGAGTTTATATCTTACATTACACCACGCTTGGAATGCCATGCAGCTTCCTAGCAAAGTTTCCATGTTGTTGAGCACTGCGCAAAATACACCCTGTGAACATATATGGT